AAACTAATTTTACTTTATTGTAAAGCTACATTAACAGAATCTTGCAAGTCTGAAAGTACAAGTCTCTTGCCGTCTCCTTTACAGCCCAAGAACTTAGGGAGGGTCCCTTCTGAGCCTCTGCTCTGCCCACTATCCACCTGTCGGCTATGCCATCTCTTATCTGACCATTCCCTAAGCAGCATCTCTTTGTCTCGTCTCCCAAGGTTTTTCCCACATACCATTACAAACAGAGAAGGCACATCTCCTGGTCCCACCAGATGACACTGTTTTATAGAAGGAACAAGTCCACCTGGTTGGACCTCATGGAACAGGCAGAAATAATAAAGTAGTCCCTCAAGTAACTTACCCTTGCCATGAAGGTCTTTAAAGGTGGTAACAGACCTGGAATTGCACCTCTAACCCTGCTGGGAGCAATGCAGATCACAAAGCAGTGGTGTTAACATGGGCACACCCATAAATACTTGGACCCATGCATTCTGGACCAGTTGCAGCTTTTGGGTGGTCTTCCAGGGCAGTCCTATTTAGGGTGCATTGCAATAGTCCAACTAGGAGGTTGGGCCAAAATATGAGTGACCATGAATAGGGTTAAGGACACCATGAGAAACAATTCAGGTAACTGGAAAGCGAGCACAAAAGAAGGCATCTAACTGGTGTCCTTCATTGCTATCTATATCTAAACACTAAATGCATTTTGTCCGGAACTTTATAGGCTGGTCTGGCTGTAATAGTCTATACTATACTATGCTATGCTATGCATCTGGCACTTTTCAAGAATATCTTAGCAGTTGCTATGAGGGAGAACTTCCAAGCCATCAAATCACTCCTCCTCTGCTCAGTTTAAGGCTATCTCTAGCTACATTCTTGGATTCATCCTAAGTATTTCTGACTTAGAACATCCACGGTTCTCTCTCTCCAATTCTTGTTTAATCCATCCTGTGGAACTGTGCTAGTATTACTTTTCTTTTTTCCAGCTCCAGACTGTTTCTCCTATGGTGGTTCAGTTGGAGAGCTAAGATCCAGCTGCACTGAGGAGTTCCCACCATTTTATTTCAGTTCTTACATGGAGGCCCTCTCTCAGGCCAACATCACACACCCTGACTCACCGCCACGGTAAATTTCTTTTGTATATATTATTCTTGTGTTTATATTAATTGCTGATGATCAATTTAACTACTCTAGCTCTTAAATTCAAGGCAGCTTGTGTCAGCTTCTCTAATGATTACCCAGAGTTGACCATGGATATTAACTCAATTTGCAAATCCCATTTTAACTTGGCTACTGAATCAACCCTTGTTCTGGGTTCACACAGTACACTGAATTATAAATTAGCCAAACCATGGGTTCACACAACTATGGTACAGAAAAGGATCCTCAGGAAGATAAAAACTAATCAACTTTAGCACACTGTGCAAAAGCAGACATTAGGTATTTAACTGGAAATGTAAAGGATATTAGGTGGAATTAGCAGGTTTCATTGAGAAAGTCAGCTGAAGCCTCTGATTAAAGGAATTACATAGGAACAGCCATGTACTAAAACCATTGACTCATATATCCCAGACCCTTTTTGGTCTCTGAACTTTTTTTTGTTGTGTGCCCTCTCTGAATAACTTCATCAAAAATTATAACAAGTGTCCAAGAATCAGCAGCTTGATTTTCCACTAATTTCCAGATTTAACACACACACACACCCCAAAAACCCATGTAGACATTTTATTGTAAGTTGCCAAGAGTCACTACTGTGAGATGGGTGGCTACTCAGATCAAATAAATAAATAAAATAAAATAAATATATACAAATGTGCATGCATACATTTTCCACTTGTTGTCTTTGTGTGATCGGTCGACCTTCCTGAGCTTCTAGTAAAAAATGGTCTTCAAAAGACCATCAGCCTGTCAGAAATGGAGGGTGTAAGACTTATGTATCACAGTCAGAGAAAAACAATGCAAACCCTGTTTCCAAACCAAGGCATGGATGGATATCTGACTTCTCGTTCAAAAAAGGGGGACCTTATGCAGCGCAGGCATAAAAACAAGTCCAAAAGCGATTGCAACTAGATTCCATAAATAGGGTTTGATTGTGCAAAACCACAGCCACGGGAATGGAGCTGAGATGTTGGGTGAGATTGTGTATTTGTAAGATTTTTATTACCCAGTTATTACCCATCCATATATGTGTGGGTGGCCATATTGGACCAATGGCTGGCTGGCTGGATACTCCCTCATTATGGCTTTCTAATTTTCCTTCAGTTAAATCTGTCTGTCTGTCTATCATCTATCGTAAGTTCTTGGTTTCTTAAGACCTTGCCTAATTAGATCCAGTCCTGCCTGCAGCTTAAGGGCTGGCAGAAGGAGAGGCATGGTCAATCCTCCATCCTCTTCATATTCTCTGGTGTAGAAGTGAGGATGCCTTGCCTCTTCTCAAGTAGTTTTTATTTAAGCAGTACTTAATTCCACTAATTTGTAGAGTCTACTACACTCTGTTCTCAAGGGTGAAACATACAGATTTTCTCCCACTAACTTAATTACAGGAGGAAAAATCAACTTCTGGCAGGAGGCCCATAAATCAGTTTTTTACAACCTTTCCACCCTCTTCCTGCAGCCTAAGTGGGAAGCTGTTTGGCCATCTGCCTAACTGATAAGAGTATCTAGAAAGTACAGCCTTTGTTTCTACCAGCTGGCATTCTCCTAAATCCTCCAGGCAAGGTTGCCAACTGCCAGCTCCAGTAATCGTCCAAGTTTCAGCCTTTCTCACCCTCTTCTCCCAAACCTTCTTCCTCTTTCCTTCCCCCATGCATTCTATGGCAGTGATTATTCCTCAATTTTGCACCCACCTTTTCCTTTTCGAGCTGCCAAGCCATCAGTGTTGTGCTACTGAAAGTTGAGCATCTCCCTTTAGTTGCAGTGTTTTTCCCCCTCTGAAACAGATCACGCTAGCCTAGATCCAAATCTAGTATATTGAAGACCCTGATATATAATGGTTCTCTAGAGCTTGAGACTGGTCGTCTTCCAACCAGCTGTGGACCTTGGAGATGAAACCTGCTGTCTATGGTGTGAGATTGAATCAAGGCCCCCAGTTTTCTTTAACTCCCCCTCCATTTAGTATAGTATCCCACATGCTGAGTTTATGTCTATGCATAAGCCCCACTGAGATCCAAGAGGCTTACTCCAAGATTATTGGGTACAAGACCACATGCCTGAATGAGCTACAGTGACCCCTTTATGGCATGCAGAAGGAAGCTCCCTTTGATAGATTTCAGGTTGTTTCTTTTCCTCTGGGTTCAACAGTATGTCAGGATTGTAGATATTCTCACTTGTTTTGCTCTAATAGTCCCAAGTTAAGGAGTGTGAAAAATGGAGCTTGTAGGGTACAGTAGAGAATCAGTATAAAGAATAATTGAGGACAAAAGCCTTTGCACACGTCATTCTACTGTTTTTCTCCTTTCCAGAGAGTTAAAGGTGGCTAACAATCATAAAATACAAAAATACGATTAGGCACATTTAATAAAAGAAAATATAAAATATGCATTCAACAGTTTTATTTTAAGCTTCCTAAATATTAAAAACAAGGAGCAAGAATTTGTGTAGCTAATGTGGGGTGGGTGGACATAACTGGAATTCTGAAAATAGATCATGGCTCTCTCCAACATGACCAACCATCTATTTAGCCAAAGACAAATTGATGGAGTCACGTCTCTGTACTTCCTTCTAGTCTCCTAGAAGATCACCTTGGCTTACATTGCCTTTTATTCCACAATGAGGGGCACCGATCACACCCAACCCTGAGATTCAACTATCCATTGTTTAGATTTTCTAAGAAACTCTATGGGGCTTATGGAGAATCCAGAGACGTTTTTAAAAGTAAAGGTGATACGAGAAAGCTGTCCAGCTTCCCATGTCATTTTTGACCTGAATAGTTTCAAAGTTTAAATAGTCTTTAAAGCCATAAAATAACCTGCACCCAGGTTAGAATATTTTAGGACGGAAAGGAAAGAGAGGAATGTCACCGGGTTTGGAGAGAATAAAATCTTTTCTACCTATATTCCTCTAAGACAGTGTTTCTCAACCTTGGCAACTTGAAGACGTGTGGACTTCAACTCCCACGTCTTCAAGTTGCCAAGGTTGAGAAACACTGCTCTAGGAGAATGATTTTCAGAGGGACTCCTATTCTGTTACAGCTGAGATTCATGATGGCATTGCAGGATTGTTTTTTTTCACTCCACTGAACCATGACCAGTGCTTGAAATGGAATTGCATCTAACGGTGGGGAGGGCATCTGTAGATTTTAAAATTTATTTTGGTCCAGAATAAGATACAAATTGAGGTTCTTGCCAACGCTTGC